GAATCGCATAATCATTTTGGCATAAAAAATGCCCCCTGTAGTAGCAGTATAGGTATATGAATCGTGCTCCAGTGGAAGTGGTCCAGAACCCCCATTACCTATACTACTAGTAAGGAGCTGAAATGTCTGCGAGTGTGGCGTTGCGGGTGTCAGTCATGTTGTTTGGGTGTTGTGTTGGAGAGTTCGAGAGCGTGTGTTGTGGTGAGTGGTGGTGGAGTGGGAGTGGTGTTTTGGGGAGGTGAGTTGGTTTGTTGTTTTTACTGGGTGAGTTGTGTTTAGGAGGCGGAGGAGGTTGCGGTGGTTATTTGTTGTTGGTTTTAGTAGGAGGGTTTGGTAAATTGATTAATTATTAAAGATTTATTTTGTTGCTGGAAGGCTGGGATTAGGTGAGAAAAGTGGAAAGCGGGGATTAGGAGATATTTAGTCGAAGGAGTGGAGGTATGTGATTGGTGGGCGGGGGTGGTGAGTAGGAAAGAGCATGCGTTGTGTTAAGGAGAAGGGGGGATTAGGTGTTTTTTGTTTTTAGGAGTTGGGTCAAAGGGTGTGTTTGAGTGCTGGGCGTGGGTAGTGAGTAGAAATGAGTGTGAGCTGTGTTAGGGAGATGGGGGAGGATAAGGTGTTGGTTATTTATAAGAGTTGAGTGTTGTTGTTTTTAAGGATTTAGGGGTTTTGTGATTAATTCGGTGAGAGTGATGTATGTGAATAAGGATGAAAGGATAACGTGATAATTACCGACGATGGAGTTTCCTTGGCTGGCTATCAGGCAATGCTCTGTGCTGGCTTGGGAAGTGTTGCTCGCTTGGAGTACAAACTGCAACTGATTGTCTGGCCAAGACTTGATTATTTACAGACCGCTGTCCTATAGCTGGAATATTGCTAGGTTCGGCGTTAAACAACAAACAAACAAACGATGAGAGTGATTTTAAGAGTATGTGAATAAGGCTGAAAGGATAACGTGATAATTACCGATGATGGATTTCTCCTTGGCTGGCTATCAGGCAATGCTCTGTGCTGGCTTGGGAGGTGTTGCTCGCTTGGAGTACAAACTGTAATAAAAGCAAGTCCATGATAATTTATAGATGAGCGCTTATTGAGTTTTAGGGCATACCCTATTTAGGAACTTACTTACTTACTTACTTTGGAGATTTAACGTGCGCTTTCCGACTGATGCGTATTTCGCACACGGGCCCGGCCAGGCCATTTAATGTGTTTCCGAAAGGGGCGAAGGTGGTCTGTGCAACCCAAGAGGGGGGTTTTAGGGGTTGCTTATTTAGGAACTGTTTCTTTGCTCCTTTGTATTTCATTATTTTGGAAGCCAGTGTGAGGATGCAGGTGGCTTTGGCTTTGACACTCATTTTTCTGCTTGTAATTTGGATCAATGCCGTGGCAATGAACTCTACAACTTTGTTTGTGTTCTGAGCCTTTTGTTTACCATGAGCTGGTGTTTTCTTTGCCTGACTGATTCTTTTGCTGTGAGGATTAGAAGGCATGGGGTTTGATTGGGGAGCTTGGGTCTTTTTCCCCTTGCGTTTTGCAGTGGCTTTGTGCCTGTGAGCAGGCGGATCAGTGCTCACAGATTCCATTGTTTGCTCAGTGCTCACAGATTCCATTGTTTGCTCAGTAGAGTGATCCATAGTCGCTTGGGTTTTTTCGACCTCAATGGGTTGAATAGATTTGGATTCAGATTGCTGAGTAGGTATTTTATTTATACGTTTGCTGATGAGCAAGCGTTTAGGACATTTCGGCGCCAAGGATGAATGACCCTCTTTCCTGCAGTTTGTACACCGTGTGTTGCAGTTTTCTTCAGGCCTTAACAGGAGAAATGCCACTAAGTCTACGCAGGGAACAGCTAAGCTTAAATTTCTGGGCCGCGTCCAAATCAAACCCTCTCATCCAAAACTTAATAAACCAAAACATCAGCCCCAAAAACCAAGCTCTAGCTCGTAAACACCCCTTACTTACCCCAATATCCCAAAGAATAACAAACTACCTAAATGAACACCAAATTAAAAATCTTAAACAAAACTGCAAACAATCAAATATCTTCACCCCTAAACTTAAAATACCCAAAATAGACACAACACTAGCTAGCCAAATAAATAAACAAACCGACCCAAACATAGCTAAAACTACCACACTAGCATACATACACGAAAATTGGCCAAATTGGTGTCACATCTACACGGACGGATCCTCAGATCGACCTCCAAACACACAGGTTTCGGAGTCCATACCACACAACCAACTAAAACCACACAATCCTTCCAACTCCCAAACAACCAATCAATATTCACGACAGAACTAATGGGCATGGCCTCAGCCCTCCATAATCAAGAATCCAAAAACCACAAAAAAAATCCTAATACTTACCGACTCCCTAAGTGGACTGCAAGCTCTCCAAAACAAAAATACCAAAAACCGACCTAAATTAATAAATCAAATACTTAAAAGCTCCAACGACCTAAGACCGCCTCCGTGGTCTTGTGGTAGAGCGTCCGCCCGGAGAGCAGATCCGGGGTTCGATCCCGGGCCGCGTCATACAAAAAGACGTTAAAAGATTGTACTTGTTGTTACCCTGTCTGGCGCTCGGCATTAAGGGGCTAAAACAAGGACTGGTCGGCTCGGAGTCAGTGTACTGTGTCTGAGTGGGGTATTCATGTTAAACTGCGGCATGGTATCTCAGTGAGCTAGCACTATAAATCGGCATCAGTCCGGACTAGTACAAGCAGCCACACACACACATACACGTGCATGCACGTCGCTATATAAGTGCAATAATCTTGGACGCGACGTTAAACCCAATTTCACCTCACCTCACTCCAACGACCTAACTAAGGCAGGCAAACAAATAACCTTCTTGTGGATAAACGCCGATAAAGCAGCTAAACTATCCCTTAAAATCCCAGAAATAAGCTTTAACTTACCCATCTCAAAATCAGAAATTAAAAGTGTAAACAAGCAAAAAATCACCAAAAAATGGCATAACCTATATCTAAACTCAAATAGCCAAATCAAAAAAGTACTCAGCAAACCACCAACCAAACCAAACATTCTCCATCCATCCAAAAAAATCGACAGAGTAATCACTAAACTCCAAACAGGACACACCAACCTAAATAACCACCTAAATTTTTTTAAAAACACACACTACAGGTAACTGCCACACTGCAAACAACCAGAAACCCCAGAACACGCACTCATAAGCAATACTAAACCCACAAAATAAACTAGAAAACTTCAAGGCCTTAGGCGTATTCTTAATAAAAACGGAACTAATAAAACGTATCTAAAAACACAATAACCTACCAAATCAAAATCACATAAACAAACAAACATCCACCATACCCAGCTCCCTTAGTTCTATTCCCCAATCCCATCGGCATCTATTCCAAATCTCAAAATTCCCAAATCCTATATAAGCAACCCCTAAAACCCCCCTCTTGGGTTGCACAGACCACTTTCGCCCCTTTCGGAAACACATTAAATGGCCTGGCCGGGCCCGTGTGCGAAATACGCATCAGTCGGAAAGCGCACGTTAAATCTCCAAAGTAAGTAAGTAAGTAAGTAAGTAAGTAAGTAAGTAAGTAAGTAAGTAAGTAAGTAAGTAAGTAAGTAAGGGAGCAGTTTTTGCACTTGGGTGGCTGGTTACATGATGTTTTTGTATGTCCATAGAGCATACAGTTTGTACATTGGGTTGGCCTTTTCCTGTATGGCATGGTTTCTATGTCCTTACCACCTAGATTAAGGTGGCCGGGGACTGACTGACCAAGTAATGTGAGTATTACTACTCCTGTGTTGTTTGTGCCCATTGAGTTGATCCTGAATGCCGACAGGATTGTAGTTTGAGTGACTTTCTTTTGGGCTTGACAGACAATTTGATAAAGCTCGTCGTCATTAATTTTTTTGTCTAGATGTACCGCACATCTGACATTGCTAAGCCACTTTGGGGTATCCCATTTTAGTTTGATCCCGTTTATGCTTTTGGGCATATCAATTGACTCTGTGAGGTTGTCCCCAACAACATACCCTCTTCCACACTTATTTATGCGAGTAATATTTTTGTGCTTCAGCTCTTTGGCAATATCTTGAGCTGTTAGGATCTTATTAAGAAGTCTTATTCCCATTTGGTTTGTGGTCTTCTATTTTGTTGTGTCTTTGATTTTTATGAGACCATTTTTTGTCTTTTCTGTACCATTTTAGCCTTAGGTGGGCTAGATTGAGTCTAAATACACCACACAGCGCACTCAACTCTATAACATTATCCCCCCTACTATTAACTCAAAAGCCCAGTTACCCAGCCCACTGTCTCCGGCACCCCAAGCCCCCCACCATCCACGTCACAACACACGAGTTACCAGAATCACCTCTACCCCCCCCCCCCCCCCCCCCCCCAAGCCCCCTTGCATCGCAACCAGAGGCGGACACACACGCTATTGATTTGTAAATTGACATTTTGGCATGTTCATGGTTTTTTTTAAAATGAAATCACGCATTTTCTGAAGTCAGTGTGGCAAATTAAACCATTTGAACACCTTACAGGAGTCTTCTATCTGTTGCAAACCGAAATTGTTTCAGATTTGGTAAAAAACATAACTTTGCATTAAATCTTATTCAAAGACATTGCCAACGGCCGGACCCGTTGTTTTGTGAGAGTGATTTGACGGTTGGGGGGTAAAAGTAGTGACATCATTGAAGAAATGACGTATGGTTGCTATTGGGGAGTAATTATATTATTGTTTGGCGGTGTATTGTGAGAGACGAATGTTTGTAAACAAATGGTAAATGTGGATAGTTACCAGTACTTATGCGAAGCTGACCATAAACCGATATAGCTAAATAATGCTAAATCATACAGAAATTGTGATGTCAGTAAATGAATGAGTGACATCATCAATAGAAATAAAAGTTTCGGACTGCCTTCCCTGTGTTTGCTTGCTGAAGCGCACATAAACGTGTTTCGTGTTTCACTTCCGTATTTATGATGTCACTTCCCAGAAGAAAGAAAGATGGCGGCCACAGGGGTGCTGCCGTTTGTCCGAGGTGTAGATTTTTCAAGAAATGACTTCAACGTATGCCAATATTATTATTCGTACACTTAGTTCACTTTGTTTGATATCATTGTCATGAAAACAGAGCTTACGTGTAACCTTTAGTAGACGATGGAGTCTATTTGACAATATACGTATCGTGGTTGATTCCCTACCACTAAGACCAGACGATTCGGCTCATATTTGATACACTTGTGTCATGAACATTGATACGTAATGTGTACTTCAGCTACGGATGTCTGTTGCTATGGGTGACCCAGATGAGTAACACACGTGCCCATGGACTAATTAATAATAAAATAAACTGAATTTATTGTAGCGTATATAACACTTATGGAAATATGTAACCACAGGGTTTTTACTTACAAAAGTGGGGGTCGAAGGGACCCCCAGTAATTTAAGTTTAAGATTCCTTGCAGGCAATATTCTTTTTCTGTGTCCATGTCAACATTTGTGTATCGTGTAAAGCCCACTCGCATCTCCTTTACTTTTGCTCTTTTCATTAGATGAGACAATATGAACAATATTAAAAAGCACACCATTTAGCCTACAACCTCGGGGTATCGCGGTGCTTGTCATGTACGCCAAACGGAACAAAATGCACTCACTAACCTTTATGTTCATTCGTGTTTTCGGTATCAGATATCATTCATGTTATCAAACAATGCATATTTTACTGATAAAAGTTCATTATTTACATTAGTAGCTCCAAGTAAAAGCAGGCCTCGCGCTCTGTTTGACAAGGGAGAGAACTCCATCGTATCGCGGTACAGAGAAAAGTTGTGTATGGAGGTCCGAATTGGACAAAAAGAGGACATAATTCTACCAACCACTTGGTATGATCATGCCAGACATCAGTGATTTGTCCAGACAAGTGCAAAGACAGCACAAGTAAAATTCTAAATGTGTTATCAGCAATAGGTATTCAATGCATATTTACCATAAAGTAAGAGAAAAATACTTTTATAAGTCAACATCAAAATATCAGGATGACGATAATTTTTCACAAAATGGAAAAATGTTAAAAGTCAACAATAAATATATGAAAAGCACTCCTAGTATGCCCAAAGTATGTATTTATCTTTTGGTTACTAGTGAAGAACATATTTCTAAGTTTGGCATTATGGCCCTTATGATCTCCCAATAGACTCTGGGCACAGGGCGGGAAAAAATGTGCTGACTACGTAATTTCCGTTACCTCATTAGTCGCCATGAATATGCAGATGATCTAGTTCAGGTCAATAGAGAAAGTTTACTTGGGGTACTGCAGGTGTTATATCGTAGGCCATTGATAGATGGGGGTAAGGCAATATTACAACAGATGCCAGAAATGTGTGTCAACGGATTAATAACTCCTTACTTACAGCAGACGGAACATTCCGAGGAAATTGAAATTGTTTACGAAGTGAGCACTTCCTGGTTACTGATTTGCATTAATAGACAGCGGCTAAGAGGCGTGTCCCGCGTGAACTATCGGAAATCACAAATGCCGTGGTACCATGGGGTCTGAGTATAATCCCCTTGCTCAAATACATATTTAGAAAAGACACGCGGGCACTGTCACAACATGATTATGCACATTCAGTTCTTTCATAGCTTACTATCTGTCTGTCATTTCTTCCCCAAAATACAATTCCTAAACCTAACTGAGATATTTTTTCAAAAATACGTAACCCTGTATATATCGCGAAATCCATCGAACATAGTGTTGTCAACTTGAGTATAAGCATATTTAGATGCCTCCTGGTTTCGGCTCGTTCCCTACACTGTATTTGGATCCTGCCTTGATGCATTTGATGCAATCATACTACCCATCATCCCTGGCTCAGGTGGCACCTCCAATTTACACAATATCTATACGATTATCTTTCGGATTGTTTGACAAGTTCAGTCAGCGTGTCCTTCAAATCTACTGCTTTGGAGTCGAACACCCACTTAGTGGGAGATTGGCTGGTGGACCGGTTGGCCTCAGTTGCTCCCTTCCCGGCTCCAAATGTTGATAAAAGGGAAGCAATTCAGTCCATTCCACCGGATCCCATGCTCATAGATTTAGTATTGGTGTTGGATGATGATTTCTCCAAACTGTCCCTCACTCCAGCCTTTAAGGCGCCACACTACAGGAAGTTAGATTTTCCTGTCCATGCGTTTGAAGCCACCGATAATGCGCATATTCTAGACGATGATTTATATCACATGAGAGGCTTTTCAAGGCTCCCTTGAGCATGCCTGAAGCCTATGATAGTGGGTTCGAATCCCGGTTCGCCCCAATTATGTTTCTAGGTTTGTCAGCACCATACCCGTGCTCGTGGGTTTCACCGAAGTGGTAAACGTCTGAGACCTGCATCAGTTCAGGCTTTCCTCCCACATTAAGCTGACATGCCGTGATATAACTGGAATACTGTTAAAAGCGGCATTAAACCCAACTCACTCACTCACTCTTCAAGGCCGACCACTCTACGTATGACCATTGATGAGGATCTTACCGATGACAATCCCAATCGAGTCCATTATTTACAGGCTATGATGCCATTTCAACGTCAAATCAACCACTAACGCAATCATCTCCAGGCGGCCTTGGTCTGCAATCTCCCAGCCCCAGTTGTCCCAGTCATAGACATACCAGTAGGTTGGAGATTGGACAGGTTTGGGGCCAATTGGACAATTCTTCAAGATCCATTTGTCGCCAGCATCCTCTGTCAGGGGTACCGGTTCTTGCTCATCACAGACTTCTTACCCCATAGCAGATGCCAACCCCCTCGTTGGGCTCAGCTCTTTGTCCATACCATTCAGCTTCTGGTGCTCAAGCAGGTGGTCTAGATTGTTCACAATCCCGTGGCCCATCCAGGATTCTATTCTCCAGTGTTCCTGGTGCCCAAGAAGGACTCATCCAAACATCAGATGATACACAATCTCACCATCTTCAAAAAGCATTACCGGGACTGTCTTCCATACTTTCCAGGCATCGACGCATCATGACAGGGTTGGGGGGCACATCTGGAGGATGTGATCAAACAATCAACTCCAATGGCACATAAACAATCTAGAATTAGAAGCACTCATCCCGGCTGTGTCTCACTGGCAGTCCCTGTTTCAGCCCCAAGTACTAGCCATATCCACAGACAACATCACAGTCGTCTAGTGTCTGCACAACCAGAAGACGCCTCACTCATCCCTACTGTCTCGGACCTATCGGTTCTTCCAGTTAGTGGATCGACTACACATGGGGTTCATTTTCGGCACATCCTGAGTGGTCACAACATCCTGGTGTAAGCACTCTCCTGACAAGACAAAGTGGCTCCCACGAAGTGGATGCTCCGGCCCGATACCTTCACCCTGGTGTGCCAGCGATTCGGCCTGCCACTTATCGACCTATTTGCCATCAGAATTATCAACTCCGGCCCTACATTTCCCCGCTCCCGGACCCTCTGGTTTGGGCAGTTGACACATTCAGGACAGGCCTAAAAGCGTATGCTTTTCTGCCCCCTGTTCTACTAACCAGGGTTCTGCAAAATCAAAAACACATGAAATCTATCACTGCTTTTGATTGTGCTTTGGTGGCTGGCTTGGAATTCATTCGTGGATATTCGAGACCTCAACACTCGCAACCATTTCTAACTTCCAGGGTGGCCACACCTACTGGTAAATCCCCACAGTCAGTTGCCACTCCCAGCAAGTTTCTTCTGCACACTTGGCACAGACGAAACTTGCTGGGAGTTTCACTGGGTCTTAAGTGCTAAAGGGTCTCACAGCTAGAGCGGCAAAGGCTATTACCTGAGCATATAGACCTCTGCTCTCTGCATGATGACAAATGGGTTTCCTTTGGATTCTTTTGTAAAGATAAGAAACAAGATCCCATGTCGGTGTCAACACTGTTTATGACTGAATTCCTTCTCCACCTCCACAACAAGAGTCACCTCAAGGGTAATACCATAACTACATTTCTGTAGAGGTATCTGTATCTACATATCCCGGAACTTCAATCACTTTTCCATTTTTTTTTGTCTGGAGGATCAACGTGCCAAGTTTCGGCCCCCTGCTTGGGATCATCGTAGGCAACGGCACCACCTCTTCATACCGGTATCGGAAGACATTAAAGGCGGAAGCCCTTTGGCTTCAAGCCATCATCATCCAGGCATACAACACGGGACTAGATCCTCTGAAACCAGCAACCCATACGAGATCTAGTGGTCGTCTCCACCATGGTTGCCCTTTGTGGCAGAGTTGCCTCCCCACGATGCTGATCCGTGTCATCATAGGGTGTGTGAAAGGGTTGTCCTCTCAGCTAGTTGAAACAACCTCTTCCTCAGCAACACCCCGCACAGCTCTTTCTCTGTCAGGAACAAGCAGTAGATGCATAAAGGAGAAATGCAGGATAACTATACAAATATAAAAAATATCTAGGATTTTACTAGTCATGTTCAAATTTTTAGCAATGACTGGGATTTATGTTGTAATTTGTCTTCCTCAGAATTCCTCAATTCATGTAATAAAATATTTGTACTTTGTTTAGTGATTGTCGTTACCTGTTAACTACATATCCAGGTGAGCTACAGTGCTGTGAACTAAATTTCATAGTTCAGAATGTTTCGTATTATTCTTGACATGCATGATGGATTATATCAGACTATTCAGAAAAGCAATTAATGATTGTTGTCTATATTGAACTGAAAATGTTTTCTTTTAATCAGGTAATAAAGTTTCCACACAATGTGGAGGATATGACAAGTCTAAGATGGCTGAGACTGGCCAGAACCCAAATCACAGAGGTCCCCAAAGAAGTGGAGAAACTCAAGAAACTGGTACAGTGGTAATTCAGTAGTAACTGGTCAGAGGCTAGTAAATGTCATTCGAACCAGCAATGTTCATTTGCATAATTTAAGCAAATGCGTGCATATAAGTAATATTAGCCTTAGTAAATACAGAGACAATGTCTCAATTTCCCCATGGCAGGTCTTAGAACAAGAAGATCTAGACTGGACATTGGCACCATGCCATGTATCAGCCTCGCTTTAACTTAAGTCCAGCTGCCAATAGGTTGTTGGCTACCTTTTTAAGAGACCCAAAAAGGTGCCAGGAAAAGATTTTCCTGATAACGTTTGATCTGTTGTGATGAAATGTGTGTCTGCTCACTGTTGCTCAGGAAGATCTCATGCTGGCCCATAACAACATTGAGAGACTGGGGGCTGGAATGACCAACCTCAAGTCTCTCAGTAAGCTTAACTGTCGACACAACCAGATCACCAATGATGGAGTTCCACAAGGCCTGTTCAACCTGCAGGATCTGTCTGTTGTGGTAAGTTGCGGGTACACAGGCTACAGGGCATGTGACCTCCTTTTGGCATGATTTTGGCACTGATGAATAACTGTTTACATTTATTTATGACTTACTAAATGTCAGGTGACCTTGGCTATTTTAGCCTTGGTCCAGAGATGAAAGTCAGAGAGAGGGAGAGAAAGGTCTTACCCATAGCCTAGCTATGATTAGGCTAGGTGCTCCAGGACACCTAGACAACAACCACTATCACTGTATGCTGACTTGGCACATAGTGTCTTTTATGTACAAAGTAAAATTGTATATTCCACAAGGCATCGTCTCAAAGTTGTCACTTCCTACTAAGAACGATTCACCGACCCCTTGCATACTCGTATATGCAAGTGGTTGGCATATAGTTCTATATTGTGCATACAGTTTGTGTCTTCATATATTTCATAGGATATACACCATAGCATGAATATTTGACGTCTGGTGGTGGCTTTCACCACGGTATCCACAGGCGTGTTGTTGTTTCAAGTAGCCATTTTGAATATTGTTCGTGGTCACGCTTTTTCGTGTCATGCAATCTGTATTCCCTGTATTGCTTGGTACAATATTTATTGTTGTACGTTTGCATTAATATTTTTATTAAGGTGGTGGTGTTTAGCGTTGTTTTGCGTAACTTGTTTATCATGGCTGGGATAAACTATTATAGCATATATGATCAGGAGGGAACGCATTTTGATTACACTCTGCTATTATTGCAGATAACATGCCAAGTTGCAGCCAGTGTTGCTGTAAATTGTCTGGGTGGAATCCACATCCATTGTACCTAAATTGCACCACCATCTGCACCCAGACTTCCAAATATAAAGACTATCTCCCGTTTTCCCCAACAGTTTTCACAATATACACTCAAGCATCGAGGAAACGACAGTCGCAACATGCCCTGAAACTCCGTCGCAACAAAATATCTGATGCCACCGAGCCTGTTTCGTCTCCACCTGTGACGTCAGTCTCTTGTGTTACGACGTCCACGTGTTTTCGGGGAAGATGTCCACCGCCACCGTAATTATCGCGTCAGAGACGCCGATGTCAACCCCCTTGACATTGATCAACACGGCCTCCTCTGTTACAATGACACCAGGCCTGGCGCCTACCAGCCTCAGCATGTCTACCCCTCAGACTTACCAGCTATCCACGGTGCCTATGCCTATGTTTGGGATTTGGACACCCTGCCTTCCCCCAGACACCTTACATGGATCCATCGTGGTTCCACTACATGCAGATGCTGCAACAGTCATGCCCAGGTTTCCAGTGCCTTCAGCATCTGCTTCACTCTTTGCTCCTCTGACCTCAGTCTTACCCACGGCATCTCTCCAAGCGTCTCTGGGGGCAACTCCACAGGCAACGCTCCTGGCATGCCTGGCTTGGACTTAGGTTGCGTCTCTACGGTCGGTCGACCTTGTCTCATGGCTCTACCTCACCGGTCGTCTTATCCTGATGCAGTGGCAGCAAGTCCTCTCGTTCTATACGCTGCTCTCGGAGCCGCTCTTCAGTTTGGTGCTCTGGGGATTACCAGTCTGATTTCCGGAGAGCTCTTTCATCCCCAAAATGAAGGATCACTGTCAGATGTTGATTCCCACCTATGTCTCAATCAGGTTGTGGACTGGCTGGCTGATCGTTTAGCCACTGTAGCTAGCGTCTTCCCCACAGTCAGGCATTCACAAGAAAGACAGAGTCTGACAAACCTTACATCTGACCAACCAGGCTACTGCATTGGACAAAGATTTTGCCAAGCTCTCTTACACTATCTTTAAAGGCGCCAAGGTATTGGAAGGAGGACTTTCATATCCACTCACTGGAACTGAGCGGATCATGCCCACTCACTAGATGAGGATCTTCATCGCATGACGGGGTCGAACCGTCCTACCACCATTCTTGTCCCGGACACCAATTTGGTTTATGCGGAGACGGAACTTCTCTGCTCCTTGAAACCACTCTGTCATGGCTTCCACCTCCAGAGCCATTAAACAGAATCTCTTGGAGAATAATCCTAAACGCCTTGACCATCTTACCACTGTCTTGGCCTACGTACAGCGCTGTCAAGCAAGACTGAACGAGGGACATAGTACAGAATATATATAGTAGGTGGAGGATTAACAATAGAGGATTAACAGTAACAACAATTGCATACATCATCATCCCTTTGTTGTCAACACCTACTAATGTTAACCCACTCATGTATGCAATTGTTGTTACTGTTAATCCTCTGCTGTTAATCCTCCACCTACTATATATATTCTGTACTATGTCCCTCATTCAGTCTTTCTTGACAACTGTATAAGGATCTATACCGACACATCGTTTTTCACAGTATTAAAGAAGTTGTTATCCATAAAATTGTGTCTATCTTGTCATCCGTCAACTTCTAAGTAATGCCTATCAAACAATTTATATGAGGACCCATATGCGCGCAGTGCTCATAGAGATTACCACCACCCGTCGCCCTGGCTACCTGGCTCTCTCCTGGAATGAGATTCTCTCCCCAAATTCAAGAGGGTCCTTTTGTGCCAACCTTGGTCATCTACCTCCCTTTTTAACGGTCAAGTCTCGAACTTTAGTCTCTAACAGCCTGGCCAGAGACGAGACTGCCCTCAAGGCCCTGACACATGTTTCGCACATGTTTCGCTCCAGGTCAGACAACTTTCAGTGAGGGGTGATCTCAAGGCAAAGCATTGATATGGCAGACACCAACTGGGACCGAGGGTATCAACTCACTCTTAGAGATGACCCGCCTCTGACCACGTCACCCATAGCAGACACTTGCCCCCCTACTCAACAGCAGCTCCTGCATTCCAATGTCGACATGCTGCTGGCCAAAGAGGCCAGAGAGATTGATGATACACAGTCTAGCCACATTCAACAAGCGCTACCTGGCACATCCACCGTACTTCCGGATGACCACACTCAGGCTGCTCCAGTCCAAGATACAGACTCATGACTCACTGATCAGCCTGGATATCCAGGACGCATACCTACATGGGCAGATCCATCCCAGTGACAGGAAATTCCTCCGTTTTATCCTTGATGGAATCGACTATCTATGTGCGGTGCTTTCATTTGGAATTTCCTTGGCCCCGTGGCTATTTAGATGCATTCCATCTGACGACTGCCTTCTGAATCACTGGGACATGGCCACACTCCTCCGTCACAGGGACTTCACACATAGTCTCCTACATAAACTAGGATGGATCATCAAAGAGAGGAAATCGTAACTTCTTCGTTCAATCTCCAATTCATTGGAGGCCTATTCCAAACCAACTGAGACCTCCTCTCTGTACCAAGGGACAGGTGGCAACTCCACCTACTCCCTTCACTCCACGAACCCCGACTGCGCCAGTAGCAGTCGCTCCTGGGTCTATTCACGTTAGGGCAGGATCTCACCTCCAGGGGGAGGCTTCAACATACAGATGTTCCTTGTTCATTACCAGGATCCAGGCACAGGATACAAGGCACCAGGATCACTCGGTGTCCATCGTTCCCCCAGACTGTCTCAAACCACACCTCTGATGGTGGACAGTGGAATCGAACGTTTTAGGTGTCTCTTTGACAGAGCTTATGACCACATTACACATATTCGTTGATGCCTCTCTTCAAGGATGGGGAGCACATCTGGAGGGTCAAGATGCTTTTGGGCTGTGGTCAACCACTCAACAACAGTGGCACATCAACAACCTGGAACTGGAGATGCTCATACTGGCTCTCTCTCCGCAATCAGGGCACAACCCACCCCCACACAATGTCAAAAGTTCCAGTTCTTCCACCTAGTCGATCAACTGGAACTCCAGTTTTGGGTCCATCACATCCAAGGTTGTCTTTGATAGTGGGGGCCAAGGATGAACAGGAACTTTTACCATGTCCGGTGAGGGCTCTGCAATGCTTTATTTGATGCTCCAAAAATCGGGGACAATGTTGCCGTTTCAGACACCATCTTCGCCAGCCACTACCTATGTTAAACTGCGGTATGGTATCTCAGTGGGCTTGCACTATAAATCGGCATCAGTCCGAACTAGTACAAGCAGCCATACACACATGCATGCATGTCGCTATATAAGCGCACTAATCTTGAACGTGACATTAAACACCATTTCACCTCATCTCATCCCTCAAGGAACCGACTACCTATCGGTCCTCTTTTCAGGGCAAAGGATTGGAGGGGGAAGCGTTGACCCAGTGGACAATCACGATTGTGATCTCCCACCTCCAGTCGTCCCAAAAGTCGACACACAAGTAGGTGGGAGACTAGGCCTGTTTTGGACAAAATTGGATCGGTATGGCAGACCCTTACGCTCTCAACATCATAAGGTATTGCCTCAACTTGAAGGCAGACCCACCATTGACAATGGCATGAACGCCGGAGCTCTACCCCAGAAAACAATATCAAATGTTAGGGGCCAACATACAAACCTTGTTGGAGAAAAGAACCATAGAGGTTGAGAGGCCCTAGCCGTAAAACCAGGGTTTTACTCTCCCATCTTCCTCGTACCCAAGAGGGATTCGAACAAGTCCGCAGATGATACATAGCCTCTCATTGTTCAATGAATGTCCTCCTTACTTTCCTCTCATAATCTTGTGACTGCTCAGGGGCAGCATCAGTGCTTACGACTCCCTGATCAGCCTCGACTTAGAGAATGCACACCTGCATGTTCCTTTCCATCCCAGCGACCGGCGGTTCCTCAGGTTCCAGTTCAATTGTATCCACTACCAGTGGCATTTCAGTGTCCCCTTGGCTTTCAGCCTGCCTTATCAAGCCACTAGCTGCCTATCTGCACCTGAGGAACATCCGGTTTGAATAGTATATAGACGAAGACTGCATACTGAATCATCCAGTTGTGGCAATCCTAACACATCACCAGGATTTCACCAGGTGTCTGCTTTATCAACTGAGGTGGATAGTGAATGAGGCGAAGTCAAAACTTATCTCATTCTACCGACTCCAGTTCATAGGGAGTCTTTTCCAGATGGATCTAGACCTCCATTCAGTGCCAAGGGACAGATGGATAAAAATCCAACATCATCTGTACCCCACCCTACAGCAGCCCAATGGCAAGTGCTTCTGGGACTGCTTACTTCAAGCTCAGGACTAGACGATTGCAATTACGACCGATCCAAGAGTTTCTGGCTCCTCACATCAGACAGCAGGACCCTTCTGTATCTATCGCTCTACCGGCCCACCTCAGGACACTTCAATTGATGGATGGTAGATACACATTTGCAGGTTTGGGGTGCACGTCTAGAGGATCAGGCAACATCAGGGCTGAGGTCGTGAGCTCAGTGCACTTGGCACATGAACAATCAAGAGTTGGAGTACTAGTGATAACATATTGGCAGGAGCACCTCAAAATGCCCAACTAGCCATTTCCACCGACAACATCACAGTAGCCTGGTGCCTGCAGAATCAGAGTACAACTCACTCACACTTTCTGCTCAACAGATGTTCAGGTTTTCAACCTGGTGGAATGACTGGGTCTGCACTTGCTCTTCCCGGTTGTTGGAATGTGCTGGCAGACGCTCTCTCCAGGCCAGACAGAGTGGCACCCATGGATGGAAGCTCCACCCATCGGCATTCCATCTCGTATGTTAGAGCCTAGGTAAACCCAATATCGACCTATTCGATCTACCCGCCCAAACTGCCAGATCCATAGAGGTTATCACGCGAGTGTGTTTGGAGATGGTAAATATCCTGCATTAGGAATAAACATTGTATTTAGCGAGCCTTGGTGAGCTAAATACATAGTGTTTATTCCTAATACAGGATATTTCCCATCCCCAAACACACAAGCATGATAACCTCTTTATCATATGATGTCATTCTTTAATTCTGTGCTAGAAAATGGCTTTCCCTCTCTCACAAACATTACCAAAACATTGCGAGTTTTCCTGGAATGCGCACATTAATATTTATTACGTCACAGGGGTAAGTGATATGTCAGTCGGACAGTGACAGTAGCCAATATAGTTCCAACTGAAATCTGTTTCTTATACAGTGGCGAAGCAACATATATGCAAAACAACAATTGTTTTTACTTGACTTTGGCAGCAATCCATCGGTCTGTCCGCTAGAGTAACTGCCCTTTGTCAAAGGGAAGCTACTCTAACCCTAGTCTATGAGACGTCACGGCCACGTTCAGGCATTGTTGACAGTCGGCCTGACCTGTCATAACGTTAAGTGCAGTCAGATGTACACACAGCAACAAAACGATACAAGGTAACAATTCAAACATATTTCAGCCAAATCAACTATTTTAATTTGTGGAAAAGTTTTTAAGCCACAGAAGTCGACAAGCACAGATATGGCTACTAATCCCGCTTGGCTAGGGCTAGTGCCCTCACAAAATTGTTTTGAAATTTATATCTCCAAAGTTGCCAAAACTTATGAAATGCCTTAGCTACGTCACAGTTGGACACTGATTTTCAGAATATTAGACTGTTCTTTTGATAATGATAGCAATTATCCCTTTAGTTTATCCAGATTTCTCGATGGTTAATTCTGACTCGATCGCTGAATGACAAGGGCAACGCCATGGTTGTTTATAAACACTGAAAGTAGTCCCTACTTGACCTTTGATATTTGCATCTCTATCCGCATATGACCCCACCGGATATCGTTTTTATCCGTTGGCTTTATCCTGCCGAGAAACCTACCCATTATATGATAGAAACTTTTATCTGCGCCGAAGAATTTCAGCGTGCGACTGACACAACTCTAAGTAGTGAGAGTGTTCACTGAGTACACATCTGAAGGTATCCACACCTCCATCCATTGGGTGCAGATGCATTAAGTATTGCAGGATAAGTTAAAAAATGTTGTAAAATGTAGATATTTTTTATACTTGTATACTTATTCTGCATTACTACGTCTAAGGGCCAACCTGTCACAGACTTGCCTCCCCATGATAACTTCAGACAGTAATATGAAAGTTCCGTGATGTCACCACTTCAGGCATGACATGGCAGCTGATGATTGGGGGTCCTGCTTCTAGAATGGAACAACCTTTTTTCTTCTCATCAGCTGGACCAATCACAGCTTCGTTTCTGTCAAAAGTAAGCAGTGAATACATTAAGGAGTAATGCAGGATAAGTATACAAATGTAAAAACTATCTAGATTTGCTAGAAGTAGACCAAATTGCCTGTATCTTTACATGAAAGTATGTTTTAAAAACACCACCAAAATGGGTAGTTTATGGGTAACATAAGTAACTTTTTATCCACCCAGATTATTCATACCCCCGTGCACCAATTAGAAGGATTTAAGTTTAATCATTTAAACATTCCCCAAGTGCTTTGTGGGGCCGAGTTAACAAATGTAAACATATACAAAGTTCTATTTCGTTGGCTATTGAGGTGTTTTCTGACCTTTGTTTCCACCATTAATGTTAGCAGACTGCAGCAGCTGCAAGCCAAAACACAGTGTTATGAAACTCTTCAAGGATTGCTAATTCCTAGGGCACCAACGCCTGCCTCAGACAATGCTATGGCTGTTGCGGTATGGACACAGTGGTTTGAATGTGTTTGGGAAAACCCTGTGGCATGAAAGATGGTTGACATCATCTTGCCATATTTCTTCACAAGTACACTGTAATACTATTCAAATATCTGAAACAATTGATGTGGATGCACCATCTTGCTTGACAGTACTGAAGGAACGATGTTACCAAGGATAGTTAGATCATGGGGGAGGTAATTTGAACAGCGCCATGACATCAGCCTTTTATGACATAACTCAAAAGGGGTACTTTATCGCAGAATAAAGTACTGTTAGCACTTTAGATCTTTTAGCGAGGCATGTTAGAATAAACATTCTGTGAGGATGCCTGTTGTGTGGAAACTTTTTAAATTTGTTTTGAGTATCCTTTAACCTTGCATGACGCTTCTGATTTTATATAGTATTTTGTATATCATATGGCTTTACACCGAAAATTCGCTGACTAGTCACTGATTGGTCTCAACCAGTTGCAAACATTTCGCCGTATCTGCGGTGAACAGTTGCCGATTAATCCCTGACAAGTGGCAAAACCTATCACTGATTGGTCGGCGGTCATACCCTAATTCTCACAAAACTGTTCAGGCCGTCATTAAAAAAACCCGGCAGCTTATTGTGACAAATAGGCATGATAGTTTACCGCAGGCCATTAGGATCTATACAACAGAACTTTGAAACTTCCGGCCTGACACAAGATCTACCTGCAACGGTCCTACAGGCAGGCGCTTATTTTGAATACTGTTTCCATGTTTCGATGAAATAACTATATGTGCCATTGATCTCATTTTGACATATGTCTCCGATGCCACCAACGTGATCAATACCTGCTGAAAAAAGCATCCTGTCATCCTGATGCCTAGTTTTCCAGTGTATTATGTTGAATACTATTCTTTTCACTTTCAGGACTTGAGTCACAACAAACTAAAAGAGGTTCCACCGGATCTAGAGAACGCAAAATCTGTGCTTGTTCTGAATCTCGCACATAATGAGTAAGTAAGCTAATCTAGTCTGACCCTGTATTATATTGCGTTATGATAATTTATTATCCCCTTCCATGAAAAGAATGTGGGTTTGGGTGGCCTTCCGTCCAGGATGATATTTCGCATACATCAGTAAGGATAAACATGTTGATCTTGTTTGAAAACAATCATCAATAACTCATGTTCCATGCTAGTTATGACCCTTTTTGGGTCTTTTGAACATGGTGCACAGTACTGCCAATTTCACGGAAACCACTATAGATGGCATTTTGAATACATCAACTAAGAGATGAATAAGTTTGATCATAGCCATAGTTTACAGAGATGTGGCCATTGTTGTACCTGGGTGTCAATGGCTTGACAGTAAATCTTTTCTCGTTGCACAAGTCCATGTAGGTAAGGTACGGCGATCTTTCATGTGACGGACCACTAAATGTAACATCAACCTGTGACTCCTACGGTTGAAGGACCTGTCCACTTTTACCATGCCCTAAATATCTTCTCTTCTAATTGTGCTTGACTTACAAAAGCCAAAACCTGGCATGCAGGTTTCTTCTTATGAAGATATCTATCTTGTTAAGATCAGTGTGCATTTATTGTAAGGAGGTTTTTTTTATAATTTATAAAGATCAAATTTTATAAACAGTTTAAAAATATTTTTCTTTAGAACCACAGTGCACCTGGTTTACTTGTTGTGAAGTTTATGACTTTAAGAACATCCTAGTTTGTTGAAGGCATCATTATTTGCACTCAATATTGTGATTTTTCAATTATTTATTTTCACATTTCCTAGAATCATTTGCACCAATTTAATTTTCTTTAAAAAATTTACAAAAATGTTTGTACTACGATAAGGTTAATTAACACTTGAACTGTTTGCTGTTTCTTGGCGTAACATTGTATACACAACATGCACTGAACATGCTGAACTGGTGACTTTTTTAATTCTGGAATTAGGACTTGGTTCAAATGAGGGAAGGATTATTTTGCAAGGCATAATTAATTAACTGTAAATATTTCTTCATGACAGTTTTATACACATCAGATTTGCACTGAAATGGTGTCTTTTGTTATTTAGTTTGTTTCTTTTCAATTTGTTTAATTTTGGTCATGCACAATGGCTTTGTCAATTGTGTGACATTGTAACTGCTAATATCTATCACTGGATTGTCTGGGACAGACTTTATTATTGTCAGGCTGTTGTAATATTGCTGGAAAATTGCTTTGTGCAGTGTTTATCAACGAAGAAACATACTTCTAAGGCAGGGGATATTGTTGGCTTTGTCTTGTTTGCCTTTGTTAAAGAAAGGACTTCTATTCATCATTAGTCCTCCAGCCAGAGGGACTACATTAGAGAGTGGTTGCAACATTTGTTTGCAATTGTTTTGTTTTTTACAAAGTGTTGATTGATCAGTTATATTTAGACTATCTTCAGTTCAACTCTTCTTTTTTTAAATTGTGTACATTATGTTCCTCCGTCACCTATGAATACATATTGTAGCTTTGCAATGTAGTCGCTATTTTGACCAATAAATCAAGCCAGTTCCAGTGAGAGAGAAACAATGAGTGCTCAGACCAGTGAGAGCCCTCACACTACATCACAATGGATACTTCTTGTGCAACATGTGTGCCACAGCCCTGTGGTTGTCTACTCCACACATTGCTTCATACTTGGGTTCATTTCACTTCCATGAGTCTCATTTTAGAACTGGAGATAGACACGCATCACTACACCACATAGTGTCTGTATGTATGCACAGGTGATGGTGGCACATAGTGAAAGCAAACCCGTCCAGTTTTAACGATTCAGTTCCACGGTTCAATATGTTCAGTAGTAATGTTCCCGAAATATTTTACGCAACAATTCTTTTACAAATGGTCATTTTCACTTTTTTCAATGTAGAGCTAAGTTACCTGTATATTGAATTTGGATACAAACGCATAGCGTGAGATGTCAAATGTTATATTTAGCTCAGTTAAATAGGTGTTCAAAGCTATTTTCTCCGGTCTTCTTGGCCGTGTCTCGTGCATGGAAATCTTGATATGGAAGTTTGAATCATTGTTTTTTTCTTTCAGGATTGAGATGTTGCCCAATCAACTGTTTATCAATTTGTTGGATTTATTCTTTGTTGATCTTAGTGACAATGTATTGGGTAAGCTCTGTTTTGTTTTTTGACCATGTTGACATTTAGTGACAATGTATTGGGTAAGCTCTGTTTTGTTTGACATTGGCTTATTTAGTGTCCATGTTGTCCGAGATTTATCATTTAATGTATCTATCTGAAATCACTATTCAGAAAAAAATCTTTCCTGCTAAAGTAATATGTAGTTAGTCCAAAGACTTGGAAGTGTTAAATGTTTTCATACTGACAAATACTTATTGCTTATTGCTCCCTCTTCCGAATAGATAGTGGAAACGTCCTGTGCTGTGTTCCCGGAGAACTTACTTCCTCATCTACCAGTGAGAAGTCCAGAGGGTCTAAAAACAAAGTAAAGCCCACTGAAATCTTCAGTCAGTTGATCAAGAATTAGGAAGAATATATCTTCCTCTATAGCTAAGCAGTCCTCCCCGGTAAGAGAGCATGTTTATGCAGAGGTTATAACCTCCACAAAACCTCTACCATTATCATCAAACGCGAAGAGGTCTACTAGATCTACTACTTCTTCTTCTACTGGTCAAAAGAAGAGTGACGTACAACAGCCCCCATCAGTGCAGTTTCAGCCTTCGCAAACACCTCATTGTCATCCAATCAGGCTGTAAACACGTGTGACTTTCACGCAGATACCAGCGCAGCGTTTTATCAGTGTTTTCACAAGCTCCAGCACAGCACAGCACACAGATTTAGTAGCTAATGTTACACAGCAAGTATTAATGGCCATGCAACAGCAGATGTTCAGCAAACCTTGTGCACAGTCAAGGACGACTGTCACACAATATAAGCAATAGCTTGCAGAATTCTCAGACATGCATGCATGCCATGTCACACTTTCTCCGAGCACCAGAGATTGACGAAGACTAATGTCAAAACTAGGTCTTATCATATTGAAGATAAAGAATTAGCTACATACGATTACCAGACATTCATTCTGTGGTTTAGCCATGGTTCGATCCATGAATGAAGCCATGAGTTAAAAGACGCGCACAATGACCGTGAAAGAATGCTTCTCTGAGTCTCTCAGGCAACAACCATTCTTAATGGTCACATTTGTAGCATTAACAAGGAGGTGATGCAAGATTCTAAAGATCAAATGCTAATTAGATCAGTACAGACCCTGAGTTCAGTGTATTGACAATCTGTACAAAGAACTAAATTCAAAAGCCGTTTCTCGGGAATCCAAAGAGCTGAAGAGACATAGAGGAAGTAAAAATAGCTCTTTTCGCAAGCCACATGACAAATCATGTGATTCCAGATGCTGACGTGGATCCAGGGTAGTGCATAACAGATGAAGAACCACTCATGAGCAACTGGGACCTTACCCCTCCAGTCGTTCATGTGTTCAGTGTTTTGGAAAATTGGGACATACTCGGAGGCGGGTTCATTTCTGACATTCTCAGCAAGGGCTACACTCCAACATTACTCAAGAAACCCCCATTATCTCTCAAGCCACCAATTATCCATTATTGGAAAGAACTGCTCCCAAAATTAACAGAAGTGATCAACTCACTTCTCAAGGGCTCAGTAGAGATAATACAACCAGAAGGACAAACTCAGGGTTTCTACACACCCATCTTTCTGGTTCCCCAAAAGAACTCAAATGACAAATTTTGTTTGAATTTACAGCATGAGGAAATTCAACAAGAAATACCTCCAAAATTCAGAAAAATTCAGAATGGTTCATCTGCCTTTATTGAAACATCGATAAGGCAGCACAACTATACTGAACAACAAAAGTTCCTGTGACATTGAATAAGATTTAATGCAAAGTTATGTGTTTTACCAAATCTGAAACAATTTCGGTTTGCAACAGATAAAAGAGTCCTGTAAGTGTTCAAATGGTTTAATTTGCCATACTGACTTCAGAAAATGTGTGATTTCATAAAAAAACATGAACATGCCAAAATGTCAATTTACAAATCAATAGAGTGTGTGTCCACCTTTGGTTGCGATGCAAGCAACACATCTTCGTCTCATGGAATGGACCAAGCGTCGCACCAAGTCCTGTGGGATATGTGTCCATATCTGCTTGAGCATTTTTCAAAGTTCATTCACGTTGTTTTGTTGAAGAGAATCATGAACAAGTCGAGCAATATGAGGCTGGGTGTTGTCATGTTGAAAGGTAATGCATGGGCCATGCCAAAAACGGTAGAACAACCGGGACGATGATCTCGTCGCGGTAGCGCTGTCCATTGAGATTTCCCTCTACCACTATCAAACGGTCCTCTGTCTTGCTGTAATCCCAGCCCATACCATAACACTGCCGCCCCAGAACCGATCTTCTTCCATGACACAATGATTGAGGTAACGTTCACCTCGACGTCGGTACACTCGAATCTGTCCATCGCTGTGGCTGAGGTGAAAACGAGAGTCGTCAGTGAATAGAACTTGTCCCCACTGCATGGCCGTCCAGCGTAGACGCTGTCTGCACCACTGTAGACGTGCTTGACAGTGGTTTCCTGTCAAAATGGGACGTTTGGCGGGTCTTCTTGTGACAATCCCTGCACATCTGAGGCTACGACGTACGGTTTGTGAAGATATTCGTCGAAGGCCAGGAATGCTTCTTGCAGTCACTGTTGCTGGCTGGAATCAATTTCGTAGGTGTGTTGTTCGAATCCAGTTGTCTTGTCGATTATTGGTTACGCGTGGCCTGCCACTCCGAGGATGGTCTCTGACTGCATTCGTCTGTTGCAAACGTTGCCATAAACACCAAATGGTGTTTCTGTGGACATTAAATTGTCTTGCAATATCCCGTTGACTCGATCCTGCTTCAAGCATACCAATGGCTTGCAGACGCTCATTTTTCGACAAGGGTGGCATTTCGTAATGTTGAATAATTGCGTAATTTTGTTGTTTTTCTGAGTGGTTGTTGTCAGCACGATGCTAAACAATGCATATGGAATCCCGTTAACGCACCTGTTTTTACCCATTCTTGGGTAGTGAAATGCATGGGGCTTGCATAAAAGTCAACTTTTGCATGGAATGCATGCTTTTCTGTAGCAGTTGCATTTTTATGGCTTGATTCCATACATGTACAATATTGAAAACCAAACTTTACTTGTTTGAAAAATACGCAAAAATATTGGTGTCGCAGGAACTTTTGTTGTTGAGTATATCTCGTAAGCATAGATCTACAGGATGCTTACCGACGCATTCTCATTCGTCCAAAATTCAGGAAATATCTTTGTTTGGTTTTCAAAGGCTAACATTACCAATGGGTAGTCCTGCCCTTTGGAATTTCTTTGGCCCAGTGGCTGTTTACACGTGTGACCAAACTATTTGTTGCATTTCTGCAGAACAGGGGAATTCGTTGAGCTCTTTACTTAGACGACAGAATTCAAGCCTTACAATCTACAGAACTACTCAAACAACAACTGAATCAGAAATCAGTCCTTACAACCTTCGGAGGACCTCCAATTCCAAGGGATCAGGTTTTTAATGAGGCAGAATCAAATTCTTGTACTGGAAGATCGGTGGGTAAAAATCCGGACGTACTTACCAGCAGCAAGTCACAACCAAATCTCGGTCAACAAATGGCAAGTGTTAAATTACTAGGCCTAATCACGTCCGTCACATCGCTGACTGTTCAAGGGAGACTATACTTACATCCAATACAGAGATTTCTAAATCCGTACCTAGAGTACCAGGATTTAATACTTCGACTGCCACACAAATTGAGGAAACACCTCTTATGGTGGACAGTAAAATCGAATGTCTGCGCAGGACCTTATTTAAACAAACAGGATTACAACAATCACCTTTAAGTGGACGCTTCACTTCAAGGTTGGTTAGCATCATTCAACTAGGAAGTGACATCAGGCCTATGGTCTGAGACCGAAAAATCTGTCCATATCAATTATCTGGAATATGAGGCAGTAATCCGAGCAATATCCCACTGGGCCCCACAGTTAAGAAACAAATTTCTGACGATCAGAACACAATTCAACTGTAGCCTTCAACATAATCTTCAAGGCACAACAAGGTCAAAATCCCTTCTAAAGTTGATGTTTCAACTTTACGAACTGGTAAACAGCCTAAATCTAACGATAAAGGCAAGACACCTACCAGGAGTGGCAAATGTCTTAGCCAATGCTTTATCCAGACCAGCCAAACCATTACCAACAGAATGGAATCAGATAACAGCTTTTGTGCCTCCAGTGCAATACCCACCAGCCTGGTCTGTCGATGCTCTGGCAATATCATGGGAGGGCCTAAACGCATGGGTTTCCCCTACCAGCCTTGATACCATGGGTATTGCAAAAGATTCTACACACAAGCAATCTACAACTGGTTTTGGTAGCGCCTTACTGGCTGGCAAGGACTTGTTTTCCAGATCTTGTTGAGTTAACAGGAAACCCGATACTAATGCTTTCGAACTGGCCAAACCTCCTACATCCTTACTCAAACCATGTTCATCCAAGAACCTTTCGAGCTCCACATAGGGAACATATTAAAAACAACCTCATTAAACGAGGTAATCCCATCAAAGCAGCTAAAGCAGTCTCCTTAGCACTTCGCAGATCAACGAGGAATTTTTATCATGATAAATGGAAGAATTTTGACCAGTTCGCAAGATCTAAGGGGTTTTCATCAGCAAAAGCTACTCTCCCTCAAGTAACAGACTTCCTTTGTCATTTAAGAAGCACAAGGAATCTTAAAGACTCGACCCTAGGCATTTACTTGGCTGCTATCAGTTCCGTTCTGACTATGTCTAAGAGAATTAAACTTATAAAAGTCCCTGGACTGTTAGCTCTACTCAGATCTTTCAGACTTCAGGACAAACAGAAAAAATTAGAGCCCCATCATGGGACCTTCATATTAGTGCTGCAACACTGAACCAGTGACGCTTATGAACCACTGCATTAGGTGGACTTCGAACACCTAACACAGAAAACCCTGTTTCTTCTGGTCCTTGCCACAACAGCCAGAATGTCTGTGATCCATGCAATCGATTTCAAGCGTATTAGATTTGACAGCAGCAACAATGCATCAGTGCATCTCGGCTTGAAATGGGACTTCATTGCTAAAAACAATAGTTACCAGGCCAACCAAACAGACAATTTGTTGTTCCGACTCTCTCCTCCATCCTTGGTTGGGAGGATAGAGAGGACTGATCGCTATGCCCAATCAGAGCCTTACGCATATACTGACAAAAGTCACATCCTAGAAGAAGAGGTTTTAAATGACTATTCATTCCTTTATTAAAGAATAGTCACACTGAAGTCTCCAGAAGAACTATTTCGTTCTGGATGAGAGCTGTCATGAGAAGCTGGTTTGGATCCCCCATCAGCCTCCAACCCTCATGAAGTAAGAGCCATAGCCTCTACACTAGCGCTTCATGGTAACTGCTCGATACCATCAATCATGGAAGGCTGCTTCTTTTTGTTTACACTATAATTTAAGGCAAGCAAGATCTTTAAAAATCTTCGCAAACCTTACAAAATCCACAGAATCTTAAAAGATTTACTTTCAGTTTTGCTGCTCACAAAAAAGAAAGGTGGTACCCCTTTGGGAGATTCAAGCCATAAATATGATTCTCGGCGGTTTGGTTCTGGTGCGCCAGTGCAGACACGGTGCGATGGGGTGAGTTGTTTTCTCTGTTCCCCAGGAACACAGCACAGGAAGTTTCCAATACCTATTTGGAAGAGAGAGAGATAAGCAAAAAGTATGAGTCAGGATAAGTATAAATAATTCTTTTTCTCAAAATATACATTTTTCATCTGAAGTATTTCTGAAGGGAATAGATACTGTGCATTCTGTTCGTTCAGTCAGTCAGGGGTTTTGTCATTGCTAGTTAGCATCTGCTGTACCTTATGTACATAACACATTTATATGCTGTAGAATTATTGATTGGTAACAGTTTTGCTTCTTCATCATATTAGCCTGTTGATACTATTGATAGTGAATGTGGCATCAGTGTTAACTATTGATATTCTAAGTTGTCATTGATATATATTGCCAAACATGTGGACAAGAGTGTGATACCATAATGGACCCCTAGTTGTTGATTACCTGAACTCATCACTAGATATGCTGTACACTTACAGAGACACTGCCACCACAGCTGAGACGACTCACCAGCCTCCAGACACTTATCCTGAACAACAATCCACTCATACATGCCCAGCTCAGGTGAGACAATTTAAACAATCCACTCATACATGCCCAGCTCAGGTGAGACAATTTAAACAATCCACTCATACATACCCAGCTCAGGTGAGACAATGACAACAATGCACACATACATGCCCAGCTAAGGTGAGACAATTAAAACAATCCACTCATACATACCCAGCTCAGGTGAGACAATTTAAACAATCCACTCATACATGCCCAGCTCAGGTGAGACAATTTAAACAATCCACTCATACATACCCAGCTCAGGTGAGACAATGACAACAATGCACGCATACATGCCCAGCTAAGGTGAGACAATTAAAACAATCCACTCATACATACCCAGCTCAGGTGAGACAATTTAAACAATCCACTCATACATGCCCAGCTCAGGTGAGACAATTTAAACAATCCACTCATACATACCCAGCTCAGGTGAGACAATTTAAACAATCCACTCATACAGACCCAGCTCAGGTGAGACAATTAAAACAATCCACTCATACATGCCCAGCTCAGGTGAGACAATTAAAACAATCCACTCATACATGCTCAGCTCAGGTGAGACAATTAAAACAATCCACTCATACATGCCCAGCTCAGGTGAGACAATTAAAACAATCCACTCATACATGCCCAGCTCAGGTGAGACAATTACAACAATCCACTCACACATGCCCAGCTAAGGTGAGACAATTAAAACAATCCACTCATACATGCCCAGCTCAGGTGAGACAATTACAACAATCCACTCACACATGCCCAGCTAAGGTGAGACAATTAAAATAATCCACTCATATATGCCCAGATCAGGTGAGACAATTAAAACAATCCACTCATACATGCCCAGCTCAGGTGAGACAATTAAAACAATCCACTCATACATGCCCAGCTCAGGTGAGACAATTAAAACAATCCACTCATACATGCCCAGCTCAGGTGAGACAATTAAAACAATCCACTCATACATGCTCAGCTCAGGTGAGACAATTAAAACAATCCACTCATACATGCCCAGCTCAGGTGAGACAATTAAAACAATCCACTCATACATGCCCAGCTCAGGTGAGACAATTAAAACAATCCACTCATACATGCCCAGCTCAGGTGAGACAATTAAAACAATCCACTCATACATGCCCAGATCAGGTGAGACAATTACAACAATCCACTCATACATGCCCAGATCAGGTGAGACAATTAAAACAATCCACTCATAAATGCCCAGATCAGGTGAGACAATTACTACAATCCACTCATAAATGCCCAGATCAGGTGAGACAATTACTACAATCCAGTCATATATGCCCAGATCAGGTGAGACAATTACTACAATCCACTCCTACATGCCCAGCTCAGGTGAGACAATTAAAATAATCCACTCATATATGCCCAGATCAGGTGAGACAATTAAAACAATCCACTAATATATGCCCAGATCAGGTGAGACAATTAAAACAATCCACTCCTACATGCCCAGCTCAGGTGAGACAATATTTGAAAATCAATGCTGACAACGTTTGTTAAATGGTTGTCTTTAACATTTTAAACTTTTCACTACATATCCAGGTGAATTACAGTGCAGTGTCACAGTTTATAATCAGAAATTGATATGCTATGTGTAGGGATAGTGATGACTATATCTTCCAGTTAAACTGAAATTTAAGTGTTGACATGTGGTCATTGTTATCTGGTATAATGTTGCAGACAGTTGCCGGCACTAACATCCCTTCAGACATTGCACATGAAAAACACACAGAGGACTCTAGCAAATTTCCCTACAGGACTGGATGCACTCACCAACCTACAAGGTAAGCCATCATGTCTTTGTGTGGTTTTTGAAATCATGAACTATAGCAGTAATAACTCCTCTATACCCCTGTGCAATTGTCAAGCTGTTCAAATATGTCATGGTTATGACCATTCTCAAGATCATTATCCCTTGTGAACATTTACATGACATTTCAATAAGCTGTAGGATAAAGAAACTTGGTGCACACTTAATATGTAAGCGAACATGTTTTTGACTAACCTACAAAAGGGCCCCGGTCCAGAGAGATCGTTTCCCAATGACAGTGTATGAGTTACGATCACCTTAGTGTTATGTTAGCTTTGTGGAACAGGCCACTGGCCATTGCCAAGGTTGTTTGTGGAGTAGGTAGGCCAATGAATGTACTTGCATAGATATTTTAGCTCACCTCCCGAAAGTTGGAGTGAGCTTATGTCGTGGCCTGGTTAACATGACACTTCTATAAAGGTAACATCCCAATGAGGACTGGGACACAGGGCCCATGTATATCATATCAAGTATATCTCCTTTACAGTCATGTCAAGAGCATAGTCTATGTCATAATCCGAAAGGTATTAGTACTGCGATTCTCAAGAAGCATTCAAAGTAGGTCAATGAAACGTGGTAATGTCATCCTGAGGGCATGGCAACAATTGAAAAGGGACATCTGTGACCAGCAGGGAAGGTCAAGGTCACATTGAAGGTAGTTTATTAGGTGTGTTTGCTATTTTTGTTATTGTGCCATTTCCTGCAGATAGGTTTATCTCCCCTGCATGTGGTGGTGGTGGTGGTTATGTATGTGAGTGGAATACTTATGTATGTCAAGTGATGACAATCATAAAGTAGCAGTAGGTCACAGTGACATAGCATATGCTATTATTTTGTTATTACATTGTAATTCAAACAAGGGACATGATGATTTGTATGCTCAATAACCATTTGGAATTTTTTTAAATACTTGCTACCTGTGATTGTGAAGATCCTGGTTAGAATAGTGTGGTAACCCCAGACTACATACAATCATTTAATAAACAAGACAACCCGGTATTAGAGGGGTAGTCAAGATGTACATGTATTTACTCTTCTTGAGTGTTTACATTCATGGCGGAAACAGCCGATGCGAGGGTTCCCAGAATTCCCTGCTAAGGGAGCAGTTATTATGCTTAAGTGGAAATCACGGGGAGTGGCTTATTGTTTAAACTGTTACTCTATGACACTCCTCCCCCATAGTTTTGTTGCACTTTAAACATAACTACCATAATGAATCTACACATGTTGAAAGAACTGACAATTTCTCCAGAAGATGTCATTAAAGTGTCTCTTCACACATCTCATTGGAAAATTTAACCAATATTGTTCCAGATGTTATTTAGAGTCTCTCATATCACACAATAACTGGAACACTGTAACTGAATATGCACTTGCATTAATGATTAAAGATAACTGGATATGCATCTGCTTATGTCTGAATAAGGGAACCAATAACAAGATCCAAAACTATCAATCACTGATGGTTCACTTAGGTGACAAATAGTGTGAAATACATCACATTCTCATTACAGTTCATAACTCAGCAGCAATCTTTAGATTAAGTATCCGGCGCTTTCCAGATTCTGGAAGAACGACGAAATTCTTGCGCACCACAAGAATCTGACTGAGTAGGAGATAGTGCCTCTGGTAAGACCTGCTGTGGCTCGGGCCTTGTAGAAGTAACTTCATCTTGCAAGTGAGGGGTACCCGGAAGTACTGGAATGTTGCCAGGTTCAGGCAACATAGGTAACTTGTCGGGTAGTTCTGGTAGAACTGATTGTTCATGTGTTGATGGAACTGTTTTATCATGTTGGCTTTCATGCGTCAGAACATGGCGCAAACGCAGGTGATCAATATGGCACTTGACAACACCACCATTGTCAAGACGAACATGGAACGACACTGGACCGGCTCTCTCTGTTATGATTCCTGACAACCATTTGTCACCAGGACGAAAGTTTAACACATACACAAGACCTCCAACTTGCAAGTGACGGCCCTTTGCATGTGCATCATGTACTGACTTTTGCTGTTCTTGTTTCTTCCTAACTTTACAGCTCATATCTGGATGAAGAAGACTGAGATGAGACTTTGGTCTTCTTCGAAGAAGTAATTCTGCTGGAGATAACCCCGTTGTAGTCTGCGGGGTAAGTCTGTATCTGAACAAAAACCGTGCAAGTTTTGTGTCCAATGTGCCCCCTGTCATACGTTTAATGCCAGATTTAAAGGTTTGTACAGCTCTTTCTGCTAACCCATTAGAGGCAGGGTGATACGGTGCCACACATGTATGAGTGATGCCATTACGTTTCATAAAGACAGAGAATTCCTCACTTGTAAAACAAGTGCCATTGTCAGTGACCACTTGGTCTGGCAGTCCATGAGTTGCAAACATATGTCTGAGACAATCAATTGTAGCAGTGGATGTGGCACTGTTCACTGGAAACACTTCCAACCATTTAGAATGTGCGTCAATACACACAAGGAACATTTTACCCAGGAAAGGTCCGGCATAGTCTAAATGCAAACGACTCCATGGATGTTCAGGCCATTCCCAAAAGTGAAGCGAAGCCTCGGCTTGTACTGGACGAGACTGTTGACACACAGAACAGGTTTTCACCTTGAGTTCCAATTCATCATCCATCTTTGGCCACCATACGAATCCACGCGCTACAGACTTCATGCGCGAGATACCTGGATGAGCTTCATGCAACATGTTCACAACAATCTCTCGACCTTGTGGCGGCACAACAATACGATTGCCCCACAAAACACAGGCATCAAGGACACTCAATTCATGTTTCCTTTTCACAAAAGGAGTGAAAGACTCCTCTAGATTTATGCTTGGCCATCCAGAAAGAAGGAAATTTCTTACTCTGGAAAGGGTTGGATCTCTGTCCGTCCATTGTTTAATTTGCCATGATTTCACAGGAGAAGCATCCATTGCTTCCAGTAAGAGGATTGTGTCCCCTGGTAGAGGTGGATTTGGTGGTGTGTATGGTAAGGGAAGACGACTCATGCAGTCGGCATTCGCAAGGGAAGTACCTTTTCTGTACTCGATTGTATAGTTATATGCAGAGAGGGTTAATGCCCAACGTTGAATTCTGCTTGATGCCATCTGTGAAATGCCCTTGTCCCGACTGAAGATGCTCTCGAGGGGTTTGTGATCTGACAACAGAGTAAAGGAACGCCCGTAGATATACTGATGGAACTTCTTAGTTCCGAAGATAATTGCTAGAGCTTCACGATCCAATTGAGAGTAATTCTTTTCTGCTTGCGACAGAGACCTGGATGCGAATGCTATTGGTTTCTCTACACCATCATCAGACTGATGTGAGAGGACGGCACCTACCCCATAGGGAGATGCATCACACGCCAATACAAGTTTCTTATGGGGATCATAATGTGTCAAGAGATCACAAGAAGACAAATGTCCTTTCACCATGTTGAAAGCTTTTTTCTGTTGAGCTCCCCATGACCAGGTAACTTCTTTCCTGAGAAGCCGATGCAAGGGTGCCAAGGTAGTGGCGAGATTAGGCAAGAAACGCTGATAATACTGCACGAGTCCAAGGAAGGATTTAAGTTCAGCAACATTGCGTGGAGCTGGAGCCGACACTATAGCCTTCACCTTTTCATCAAGGGGATGCAAACCCTGCGCATCTATTTTGTGACCCAAATACTCTACTGAGCCGACCATGAATTTGCACTTCTGTGCGTTCAATCTGAGACCAGCCTTGCTAAGTCTGGATAGGACTTCCTTCATGTTTTCCAAATGTTCCTGTTCAGAGGCCCCGGTGATGAGAATATCATCCAAGTAGACACAGACATGGGGAATGTCTTTGAGCAAGCACTCCATAGTTCGCTGGAATACAGCTGGAGCTGCCGATATGCCAAAGGGTAAGCGCTGGTACTGATAGAGGCCACGATGAGTGTTTATAGTCGTGAGCTTTGCGACTCCTCGTCAAAGGTTAACTGTTGGTAGGCTTGACTTAAATCCAGTTTCGTGAAAGTCTTTCCACCTGACAAAGATGCGAACAGATCTTCGATCCGTGGAATGGGGTAAACATTAGTACGAGCGACCTTGTTGACAGTTAATTTGTAGTCTCCGCAAATTCGTATGTTCCCATTGGATTTAACCACTGGTACGATTGGAGCAGCCCAATCAGAATACTGCACTGGCTTGATAATACCCTGTTTTTCAAGGCGTTCAAGTTCATCGTCAACTTTCTGACGAAGAGCATAAGCAACATTCCTGTGCTTATAAAATCTTGGCACATTTGAGGTGATCTCAATAGTGACCTTTTGATCCTTGAATTCCCCTATATCATCTTGGAACACATCAGAATAAGAGTTCAAAATGTCTTGTAACCCTTCATTTCTCACATTCAAAATTTTCCCCCAATCTAATCTGATGGCCTGAAGCCAATCTCTCCCAAGCAAGTTCTCGCCATCACCTTCCACCACTGTCAGCGGGAGAGTAGCGGACTGATTTCCATAATTTACTTGAACGTCTGTAGTGCCTACTATCGGTATTCTCTCTCTGTTGTAGGACCGAAGAATAGCATTGGTCTCACTTAACTTGGGCCTGTCATCACCCTCCTTCCACACTGAATGGAAAGTACTTGAACTGATCACTGAAGTTGCTGCGCCAGTGTCTATCTCCATAGTTAGCTTTTTACCATTAACTAACACTTCAATGAGATAGGGCTCCACTCTGTGTCGCTTACCACTCAATCCGTTTTGAGCATGTTGAGTTTCTACCTTAAAAAGTCCATATTCATTGTTCTCGTCTTCCTGAGATACATCGTCAATACGATTAGCATGATTAGTGGAAGATCTGTTGTCCTTGTAATGGGTACCACGACCATGACCACGGCCCCTGTCGCGACCACGACCACGGCTGTGACCACGACCTGAAGATCTATCATTCATGGCGCTTCGAGAGCGACAAGCACGCTGGATATGACCAACCTTATTATCCCCCGCCGCACGAAA